AAAAGAGGCTCACCAATCGATTGAACTCGAATTCGAAAACAAAAGATTTTCGCTAGCAAACTAATATAATAAAAATTCGGAAAGAATTTAAGTAGACGAGGAAATCTACGAAAATTATTTAACTTATTAGACTAAATAGATGGGGATATCTAAATAACCATAATAAGCTTAATAGAGAAATTTGTCTGGCAATTCAAATATCATAAAAGCAACGCAAATAAATAAATATAAAAAATACGACGACTCGTATAAAAATGAACGGGGTACTAGAAATCTAATAAAAGCAAGAACATAAACAAAATAAAAATGCAAGCAAATAAATAAAATAAGGCATAACAATTAAGCTAACATATAACACAGATAATTAAAATAAAATGCGAGAATTTATATAAATCGAAATGGGTTTTATATTACGACTTAAGAGAATGCACCAATTACCGAGGTCTAGATTATTTACTTGGTCAGTATTCAAATAATCTTATCCCCCGTGGTCCATTCAATACTTACGAAGTACTAGCGTAATTTATCAGTCAAAGATCAACTGAATCAAAATTACACTACAATCTTTTACCAACAAGTTGTTCAATTTTGTCTATATGTGAATTAATTATTTATATTTTACAAGAAACTGATAATATGATCATTTTGTTTGACACATCGACCTACAATCTACAATGTAAAATAAGCTAGGGAACTTATGCTCGCATAAATAAATAAACTACAAACAGAAATACATGACCAAAACACAATTCTCATTTAGAATGTTATTGTTAGAAACTGAAAGCCGAACTTTTACAGTATACCTTAACAGTAATACTATGTTGTTCGAGCTACCAACACACTAATACCTTAGTGTCCGAGTTATCTAGATCCCGCTCACCCGAGCTAACTGAGACCAACTTACCTGAGCTACTCTGGAATCGATTAACTCAAGCTAACTACAGTCGGTTTACCCGAGCTACACTATGTGCTATATCAACATTGATAATATTAGACTTTGATTTATCCACTCACAATTGTATCCATGAGCAAAATTTTATTCATACTATAAAAAATTATTCACATATCATATTCACTCACATCTTAAGAATACTATTTAATTCCTTTGTAAACAAATAAGCCACGTTATATTGATTCACACCATAACAACTTTTGGTTGGTTGTTCCACAATATTTTTATGAGCGTGGTTGTAGTGTAAATATGAAATAGTAGTATGAAAAGTGAATGTGACGCGGACCCACCCAAATTCTATTATCCATAATTCACAGACCAGACTTAATGAGTGGTGTGTTGGGCATACCGTCCAGCTCCTCAATCCCTCCATAAATATACCATTCCCTAGTCACATTCATTTCTCACAAAATAAATAACTAATTTCCAGCTATGGAGGACAGCAACTCGAAAAAACCGCTCCTCGTAGAGGTGGAGGAAGAAGAAAGAGAAGATGAAGTCACGGATCTACTCTCCATCCCGGGCTACTCTTTCCCGAGACTCTCCAATCTCTCGTTTTTCTCGTCCTTTGTGGCGGACGATGAGGACATCCCCCCGATCCAGACTCTCGGCGGCTTTCTGTCCGAGTTCAAGCACGAGTCCGGCAAGCTCTGGTACCTCGCCGGCCCCGCCATCTTCACCTCCCTCTGCCAGTACTCTCTCGGGGCCTTCACCCAGACCTTCGCCGGCCACGTGGGCACCCTTGAACTCGCCGCCTTCTCCATCGAGAATTCTGCCATCGCCGGCGTCTCCCTCGGATTCATGGTACTAATTTAATTAATTATTCGCTTCAACAATATTAATTAGTCCTCATGAATCGATTGATTATCCAACAAACAAATTCAATTTCGCATCAGTCAACTCGTTCAGATCTAGGAGAAAAATCATTGACCATCTTTTGGGTTAAAAAAAATAATAATAATAAAAATGTTGTTACAGCTGGGAATGGGGAGCGCAGTAGAAACTCTATGCGGACAAGCCTTCGGCGCGGGGCACGAGGATGTGCTGGGCGTGTATCTGCAGAGGTCGTGGATAATCCTTTTGGTCACAGCTTTCCTCTTAATGTTTTTCTACATTTTCGCCTCTCCTTTTTTGCTGCTCATCGGGCAGACTGAGAGCATCTCCCGATTCGCCGGGAAACTGGCCCTGTGGATGATCCCGCAGCTCTTCGCCTACTCCATAAATTTCCCGACGGCCAAATTCCTTCAGGCGCAGAGCAAGATCATGGCCATGGCCTGGATCTCGGCGGTGGCCCTGGCGCTGCACGTGCTGCTCAGCTGGCTGCTGATGCTGAAGGTCGGCTGGGGGATGGCCGGGGGCGCGGCAGTGCTGGACGCGTCGTGGTGGTTCATAGTGGTCGCGCAGCTCTTGTACGTCTTCAGCGGCACGTGCGGGAAGGCGTGGCCGGGGCTCACGCTCCAGGCGTGTCGTAATTTGTGGGGGTTTGTTAGACTCTCTCTAGGGTCTGCTGTCATGATGTGGTAAATATTTTTTTAGTATATTAATTAAAGTACAGATGTCACTAGCTACATTTTATTTAAATTAGAACAGTTTTTTTATGATTTTGGGGGTATTAATTTTTTTACAGGCTGGAGGTTTGGTATTTTATGGCTTTGGTTCTTTTCGCTGGGTATTTGAAGGACGCTGAAGTTGCCGTGGCAGCCTTGTCTGTGTGGTGAGTCACAAATACTTATACTTATTATTTATCATATGTGCGGTGATAAATAAATAATAATAATAAATTTGGACTTTGTGGTCATTGAATATAATTAATGGGCATATTATGTAGTAAAATATATAATAAGGGCATCCTTGGAAGTAAGTAAATATAATCTCCCACTATAAATAATTTTCGAATTGCTAAGTCTAACTAGCATATTCGAATACTTTGGGATCTTATGTGACAATTTTTATGATGTCATTTGGTTTGAGTGAAGTATAGTTTACCATCAATCCAAAAATTAAAAAATAATTAGGTTTGGAATAGCCAAGATAGTTTGTCCATCCTTTTCTACATCTAAATATACTAGATATTTATGGCCCGTTTTAGAAAAATTAATGTTATTTTCTATTCTAGACGTGATATATAAGGCATAAATTTTTTTCCTCAATCTTTCTTTTTTTCTTATCTTTCTCTTAAAATTATGATTACTAACTAAAATTATAAGTGGATTTAAAAGTTAATAATTTTTTTATTTATTATTAATTTTTTATACATAATATTTCAAAATAATCATATTTTTATGAGTTCAATTTGACACCTATATTGTACATACGAAATAATAAATTATTATATTTCTCTTTATAATAAAAGCAATTAAGTTACCTATTAATAAAATAAAATTATTTAAATCTATTTAGCTACAAAGTTATATAAAATGATATAATTTAGAAAAACTTAAAATATAAGACTATAAGCTCTATCAGTGATGTGTGCTATTTTAAATATAAATAGTCCTATAGTTACTAAAAAAAGTTCTTGAAAATTAAAAACAAAAAAAAAACTATTAATATTTTTAATTTTAAATATAAATATGTTAATAATAACCCATTTAACACGGTACTAGTAAATTATTATAGCGAAAAACGCCATAAAAAGAAGATTCCAGGGCAGAAAATGTCAGCAAACATGTGCTTTAAAGTGGGACGTGTATTTGGTCCACTTGACCGAACATATACGCAATACACAATGCGACAATCAAACTGTACGGCACCATAGGCTTTTGCTTGCTCCAATCAATAGTTCTTTCCCATCTTGTTGGTAAAACAAATAATTGAACTTTCAATCAGTTGGCCCTAGCTACTTTTTCACTAAATGGCCACGTTGCAAAATAATATAATAATTAATAATAATCAAACTTGTGTATGCACAGTAGCCGTTTTGTTTTTTTCTTATGCATTAAAATATGAGAACAATAAATAATTTCTATACAGTTGAGTTACCCCTTCCTTTGGAGGGCGGAAATATACGAATGCTTTCAGAATTGAGATTAATTATAACTAATGCCGAGGCGAAAATGTAAATTACGTCTTAACTATATTTAGAGAGAGGGAAAAAAAAAATGATCTCGGGCATGTACCCTTTTTCNATGTCCTTTTATCTTTATCAACAATTGACTAAATAAATGATGTTTTAGAATTTTTGTACATATTTTTTCATTATTACCCTTATCTACCTAATAAATACATTACGTCTTTTCATATTCACTCTTTATTTTTTCTCAAAACATGTATTATTGGCAAAAAAAAATATTCTTAATTAATATGAAACTTCTCAAAACGACATCTATTACAAAAAGGAGGGAGTATTAATTAGTTTGTCTTTATATTTAACTGTAATAGATTTGGGATCTGAAAACGAGATATTCCATGAATTGTGGGATTAGCTAGCCTTATAAATCTTTTCCCTACACCCAAAATATCTAGCTACACGAGTCTTGTTTTTGCGGTTAATGACATATCTTCCAATTTTGCAGCACAAACATATTGGGTTGGACAAATACAATAGCTTGTGGATTCAATGCCGCCATTAGGTGAGTCCGAGATCATAATAAGCAAAGAGTAAATTTTATTGAAAATTCTTGTTAAGAAGCTCTTATTGATATGCATATATATAAATATTGGTATATATGTGCAGTGTGAGGGTCGCTAATGAATTGGGTGCTTCTCGTCCAAGAACGGCTAAATTTTCAGTGGTTGTGATGGTGATATCTGCTTTTCTAATCAGCCTTTTGGTATCCATTCTTCTTTTAACCTTCCAAGACGAGTATCCTTCTTTGTTCACCGATAGTGATGAAGTCAAAAGAGTCGTGAACGAGCTCAATCCATTGCTCGCATTCTGCATTGTGGTCAACAGCATTCAACCGGCACTCTCAGGTAATCAATTGATCAACTCATAATTTTTCATAATTAATTATTAAGCAGACCTCACTTAGTTAGATTTTAACGGCTTGTTATTGTTGTTGTAGTTATTTGATCCACAATTCGATTTTTCATAATTAATTGTAGTTATTTTATCTTTTTTTTTATCTTG